ACCCGCCCCACCTCCCACCTGGGTGTCTATATATAGGTTGTATTCATAAGTTTGAACTCATCATCCAACAAAGAAAACAAAGAGATCCAGAGAGATGAGTGAAATAGCTTCTGCAACAGTGTTGAAACCACTGACTGGGCATCATGATCAAGCATCTGAACAGAAGAAAAACATCTGTGCGTTTCAGATGCCACTTCACTACCCAAGGTTCCAACAACATGATTATGAAAAGATGTCTGAATGGAAGCTTGATTGCCTTCTTAAAGAGTATGGACTCCCACTTAATATTGGAGATCTGAACCAAAAGAGGAAGTTTGCCATGGGAGCCTTTCTTTGGACTTGAATTCCATCTTTCATCAACTTTCTGAAATGGTTTCTTTCGGTTTAATCTTTCGGTTTAATCTTTCGGTGTGTCGGAAATCTCGTATAACGGTGTTAATTTGTCTTGTTGTCGGTAAAGTGTCATGGGTCGTTATTGTGGTCTACTGTGTGTTTTTTTTTCCTGTAACTGTGGATGTTTAAGCCAGCTGCTGTAGCTGTAGCTGTAACGGTAACTGTGGGTGGCCTACGTAGCAACAACGGAAAACACTTGGATTTTTATATGTACTGATATGTAAATACGAAAAATATTTAAGTACTTGGGTAACCGGTTGGAGACTAATTTTAGATTAAAAAAATCCATGTCACTAGCTACGTCAGCAAATAATACTGAGTTGGATACCACATCACTCGCCACATGAGCATGATAACCGGTTAATGCTTCAACCGGTTACCAGAGTACTTAAATGTTTAAAACTTTGCATGTTAGGTACCAAAATGGAAGTTTTAAAAGTATGTTACCCAAAATATGAATCAAGTTAAAGTACCAATGGGTATCCAAATAACCTAAAAATCCGACAATAAAAAACCGAAAACCGAAAAAACCGAGTATTCACGGGTCGGTTTCGTTTTTGAATTTTAGGTACCCACGGGTATCCAAATCCAACCGGATATGATGTATATATAATATTTAATATTTATATGTAACCGAAGTTAAATGAGTAAAATATTTTACTTTTTGGTGTCAAGAATTACGGTGGATGATTAAATTTGATGGTATAAAGTTGTGAAAGAGTCAACATTAACTGAAAAAATGGATGTTTTTAAGCAATTAGGGGCCCTTTACTAAATACGTATTCGGTAAGTGTGGATCGGGTAACTTTCCTCACCTGATGCACATGACAAGAGCTGAAAATCTTACCCGATAAGAGCGATGATAGGGATAAAGAGTCTTACCCGGTAAGTAATGGTGATGACTCTTAACCGGGTAAGCGTTTACCGGGTATATTGTTGCATACGATACCGTTTTAATATACTACAATCTTATCTGGTAAAATAGATTATAGTGTTGACTCCTACTGGTAAGCTCTTACCGGGTAAGTATTTGGGTAAACGGCCCCTTATTTTTAATTTGTCGCTTTGATTAGTTTATTTAGTTGTTTTGTAATTATTTTAAATGTTATATTCCGGTACCATTTTTCATATTGCAAAAGATATTTTTTTTTTAAATTCGGTAACCGTGAGCGAACCGCGGGTAACCACCTTATTCAATTCGGTTTGATCCGCGGTTCGATTTTGGTTCGGATATCCCAGTATCTGCCTCATGTGGTTCGGTTCACATTTCCCTACTAACTAAACGAAACTATGAACACCCACACTAATCAGGTCGTAAATCCACAGACCGAGATAATTAGATCGAACGAAGGTTTATGTCTAAATCAACCCAACCTGATAATGCCGAACAAAAATACATTTATAAGAAATTTCCTACTTTTCTACTTATTTATTTCAATAAATGTATGTAAGTTTTGTTTTTGAACATAGACAACATGAATAAGCCAAAGATTAAGACATTGGTCTGTTTGTTTTTTCAAAATTACCTCTTCATACTTCTGAAGTCTGATTTGTTCAGACGTTTTGGTATTAAAAGCGTTTGTTTTATTTTTAAAATAAGAGCTTAAAAGCTCTAAATATCCTCTGAAATTTGAAGTAGTAAATGTATCACTTAATACATCCTAATTCTAATCCGCTATCTATCACATGGTTCATATTTTGGGGGTTGGAAGAGATTCGTTAGCAAAAATTATTTATCTTTTATAGTTTTGTAAAAAAAACTGTTAATCTTTTATATTTTTTGTACTAGTTTGACCGATTCAAATTTCAGAAGTTAAAACAAACAATCTTATTAATCCAGATTTCAGACTTCAGGACCATCTCTCATAAATCAGAAGTGAAATCAGACTTCAGCACATCTTGAAAAACAAACATCACCCTAATGTTTAAATCGATAAAGTTCAAGACCGTTATTTAGCATGTTAAATGTGAGATTTTAAACAGGACCCTCAAAATTTTAGGGCCCAAATTTATATATGTTTAGGGTCTCATTATGACTCCTAAAGCTTACTACTTGACCTCACCATCACGCCATTCGGAACATCGGTCACATTAAGCATACTTTCTATTAGAGGTGCTCATGGGTTGGGTTGATCGGGTTGAAGACATTTGAACAACCCAACCCAATTCTTGCGGTTTGAAAAATCTTAACCCAACCCACTTTTTGCGGTTTGAAAAATCTTAACCCAACCCAACCCAAACCAAAGTGCAAGCCAACCCAACCCAAACCGTACGGGTTGATCTGGTTGATACTTTGGTATATTAAAATATTCTTCTAACATTGAATATGTTATTTCTTTACTCATAATTTTTTATTCATCATCAACCATCGAATACAACTCATCCATACTTCTTACATGTATCACATTCAATTAATTTTCTCAATTTACATATATATGTTTCACAGTTACTAAACATATACACGAATGAATTATATATATAGAGATGGAGAATAGACTGAAAATATGTATATATGAAGAGCGTACGTGACAGTGTAATTGTCTAATGTATATATTAATATAAACTCAACAATCATATTAAATCCAAGAAATAAAATGATATCAGGTTCATCGGGTTAGGTTGGGTTCAAATAATAGTAACTCAATATCAACCCAATATACTTACGGTTTGAAAATTTTAAAACTCGATTAGACATCGGGTTGCTTCGGGTTGAGTTATTTAACGTTGAGTTGGGTTGGTCGGGTTTTTGAGCACCCCTACTTTCTATCGAGCAAGATGGGTATTTTTGGAAATGCTATAAAAGTTAAGCATATATCTCAAAGAACGTAAACATGGAGCATATTTATGCAATTTAGAGCAACATCAGTAATAGTTTTCCAAATTCCCCCAAAATAATTAAACCAAATCAATTGTTAATCTTGCGTTTAACTGTTTAAAACCATGATTAGAGTATTAATTAACAAACCAAAAACAAGAACCAAGATCCCACTTTTTGATCTCTCTCTCTCTCTCTCGATCTACCTCTGGCGGTGTGCACCTCACCTGAACCTAGATCGTCGGAGATTATTCTCCGAGAGACGTCGCCGGAGATAAACAAAACGCCATAAATGTCGACATCAAAGGTTTCATTCGGTTTACTTTCAGCCTTTGTTCTCATTTTCGCCATCACATTGCCTACCGCTGTTCATGGCCAGCCTTTCGCTCCAGCTCCTGCTCCTGCTCCTACCAGCGACGGTCAGTTCAGACTCTTATTTTTTTTTTTTTACATCTTCTGTTTGAATCACGCAAAATGCTGATAGATTTTGTGATTTCATCTGTGCTTCATTGATTTGATTAGTAATGCCTCAATCCAACTTGATTGGGGAAAACTGAAACGAATTAGGTTTTGGTCGTGGTTATTGAATGTTCACTGATAATCGAGTGTTTATGTATCTGCTAGTTCTAAATCCTCTATTCCCTTCCAAAAAGGTTGATTATACGGTGATTTAGGGACCACATTGATGATTGATTGAATGTTTTGATTCAGAGATTGGAGAAATTTAGGGATTTTGTTTGGATCTTATACATGTTCTGTAATTATGATGAAATGTACCATCATTATCGTGATTTTGGGGGACAATTTCATTCAATCCTTTTTATTCTGATTTGATTTAATGAGATAACCATGTTTGACTTCGAACAACCTTCATACAAAGCTTACCAACCTTCGATCCTTTAAGCGAACTTATTTAAACATTGATCCTATTTGGCACGAACACCGTATGAACTTTGTTATCGATAAACTCGGATTAATTAGACACTGTAAAGCACCAAAATGTATGTTTGTTAGTAGCTTAAGGAGCTTGATGAGACTTGCAGCTTATTCGGGCAGCTATACATGACTGATTGATAGTGGCTTAATGATATTGAAAGTGGCTTATTCAGTAAGCTTCTAGGGATAGCTTTATGCAGAAATACAATTTTTTTCAAAAATTTCCCCTCCTAATTAAAAAACTCTCTTTCCATCTATGAAGAACTCCTCCCAAACAAAAACCTTTCCAATATATACAAACAACTTTATCCATAGAAAACTTAATGGAAAACCAACCAAACAACCCCTTAGAGTACTGTATTGGATGCTTGAAGGACGTTGTTGGATTCCCATATCGACCAGATACTAACCATCAAACCAATATATATGTAGGAACCCTCAGGGTTCTTTTGGATAGTAATACATAAGAATATGTGGAATTCTCATCAAATTACTCTCCAAACAAGCCTTGAGAAGAGAAGGGAAGTTCCAATATATATTAGAGAAAGGTCCAAGGACTCTAACATGCCCCCTCCAACAAAGGCTAGACGGGCAAATATGTCCTAGAGTGTCAAATCCTGGAACCCAAATGTCTGAGTCAGTCTCCTGTCTCCCACCGGTAGACCTTGGCTCTGATGTCATGTGAGAATATGTGGAATCCTCTCCAACCAAGCCATTGAGGAGAGAATGGAAGACCTTAGCTCTGATATCATGTGAGAATAAATGGAATCCTATCAAATTACTCTCCAAACGAGCCCTTGAGGAGATAGTGGAGGTTCCAACATATAGTGAAGTAGAGAGTCCAAGTTTAGCCAATATTGGACTCTTAACAAAATCTAATGGGATTCCACATATTCTAGTAGATACAACCATGTCCCTGAATCGTTGATGGCATACACGAGTGGTAAACTTTAGATTTCTTGAAACAAAAGGTTAAAGATAAATAACCCTCGGTATCTAAAGCATTCTTGCAATTTGCATCGACAATGTACAATCTAATTGGGAATTCTTTTTCTTGGACGAATTCTTGGTTTTCGATTTATCTGGATACATCCTAGACCAACCGTACTAGATATTGTCCGCTTTGTCTACACTCCTGGACTCACCGTTTTAAAACGTGTTTGCTAGAGGAGTTATCTAGTCCCTTATAAGACAACCTTAGTTCCATCCCCAATCGGTGTGGGATCTCATAATCCACCCCCTCCTCTGGAACCCAGCATCCTCGGTGGCACACCAGTCCGGTTCCCTGCTCCTATACCATCTGTAACATCTCAGGCTAACTGTACCAGATATTATCCACGTAGTCCACACATCTGGACTCATGGTTTTAAAAATGTGTCTGGTATAAGTTCTTTATAAGAAAATGTTAGTGCCCCTCCCCAACCGATGTGGGATCTTACACTGGTTTTGCTTGTTTCACTTTGTCTGTACATATATTTTGGGATTCACCTAAGTTTTGACCCAAAGATATCATATGCTTTCAGGAACATCAATTGACCAGGGGATAGCATATTTGCTGATGCTGCTGGCTTTGGTGCTCACATACATCATCCATACCCTGGATACCCCTGTTGACCTCAGTTGACTCAACATTTCATTTGCAGCTATAAGGGTATTATGGTAATAATCTAATTGTTTTATTGTATGTTAGTAATGAATTATGAGATTGGTGTTAACTAGTTGTTATTGACTGCCTGCTGCATTTTGTTTGAAACTGGTTGCTTGGTTTCTAGTCTTTCTTTATACTTTCTTTGTCCCAAAACAGATGCCCGCAATGAAAATGACACATAGTTTTAGGAATGTCTAATTATTACACTTTTTGATAAACTAAATGACGCTTTTGCCCTTAATAATAGAGAGAAAATTTTCTCCATCTCATAGTTAAGGATAGAATGGGAAAGTGGACATTTATTCTGGGACGGAGGGAGTTATTTTTTGCATATCTTATCTTGTAAAATCAGTTTACTTGAATGGAAATCTTTGCAATTTTCACAAAATGGATTCTCGGCGCCGAATTGATTTGGGTCTTTGTGTTGAAAATGGTAGTTAGCAAGGACTTGCCCTTGACGGAAACTTGGAAAAACTGTGAAATCGTAGCAACATTTGTGGTTAGATTCTATTCGGAGATGTATCGACATTTGAACATAATGCTTAGATTCATATAAGTTTGATTGTTTCGTTATCTTTTGTTTACAAAATCCATCCATGTGAACTCGAGGCAAATATTAGCGGACATTACCCAACCAGCGATACATGTGTTACTGATAGAGTTCAATTTTTCTAGAGGTCAACAGTTCAAGCCTCAAGATGAGAAGTGGGTGAGTGTCTTGCATTATGTAATTCAAAGAACGTCGTGGGTGAAAATTGAGGGCTTTTGTTTACCGGCTTAATGAGCTTAACGAGACTCACAGCTTATTCGGTAAGCTATACATGATTCTTTGGTAATGACTTAATGATATAGAAATTATTTATTTAGTAAACTTCCAGGGAAAGCTTTATGTTGAAAGCCAAGTTTTTTCCAAACCTATCCCTCCGAATTGGAAAACATGCTCATTTCCTCTATAAAAAAAACCCTCTCAAATAAAAGCATTTCCAATCTATACAGACGAATTAATCCATGAAAAACCAACCAAACGATGAGACTTCTTACATAAATATTGGGCTTAGTTAGAGACAGCCTAATTTGTACTCAATAGGCCCAATGGGGTTTGATTGAAACCATGTTGGCTAGAATCAGAAAATGTATAAAGGAATATATATTTTTATAGTAGTATATATATATATATATATATATATATATATATATATATATATGGTATATTTCAAATGTAACCATATCCATTTGTACAACTAATGCAACCTAATTAATTGAGATATTTATAAAAATGATGAGAGTTCATTTATTATGATTTTAATATTTATGAAAGATGACTAAAGTTCATTAATTATGATCAATACTATATATATATATATATATATATATATATAAGCTATTACGGTTTTCAGTTTTTTTTAGTGTTTCTCATATGAACTGAGCCTAAGTAGTATTTTTTTTTTTCACTTTGCAGTGTAAAATCAACATGAAGAGAAACTTTTTGCCTCATTAAGTCTATTACAATCATTAGAAGATATTAACGACTGCATAACATTTTTAATAATGTCGTTATTGCGTGAGGGTATTTTAGGGATTTAAACTGATTACATGTATAAACCAATGTATATTAGTATAACACATTCATATTATTACATCATCTTTCTCCATACCATTCGTAAGCAGATCCTTAGTGTTTTGACATTAATACCCCTCCCTCAAGGCCACACTTTTTCTTGAGATATTATTATTATGGGTCCATACATATATATATATATATATATATATGTATGTGTGTGTGTGTATGTATAATTTAAATGGTCCATTGTTGTCTGGTAAAGGAGAATATATCTGTATGAAAAACCAAAAACAAAGATTTTTCATTTAACCCCATCACTCTCGTTTGAGTAGGGACAAAAAGATTTTCTTTGCTCCTTTTTTTTATTTGCATCATATAAATAGAGACCGACAGATAATACTAATATATGTATGGGAAAATTGCATGAAAAATTAACGTACTTTTAAAACTTACATTATGGTACCTAAGATGTAAGGTTTTAAACATTTAAATACCAGAGTAACCGGTTGAAGCATTAACCTATTATTATACTGATGTGACGAGTGATGGGATGATATTGGATTGAATAGCAAATAATACTGAGTTGGATACCACATCACTCGTCACATTAGCATGGTAACCAGTTAATGCTTCAACCAGTTACCCGGATACTTAAATGTTTAAAACTTTAACAATTGCAGACCTTGTTGTCACAATTGTAGACCTAGGTTGAATATGATTTTTTGTCTTTTAACTAGATCCATAAGTGTGTGAGGCACCACTTGCGAGGACAATGATATTTGGGTAAATCAGGAGAGTAATGACTAATGATATTTCGATCAATTTCCCTTTATAATATAAGTAAAAATGTAAATATTTTGTTAAATTGAAAGATCTAAAGGGGGTTGGAACCAAATCTTTATAGGGGTGCACCCACACCTACCATGAGCAAGTGTAACTGTGGAAGTACCATAAATATGCAAGTTGCAGTGCATTGTGTGGTTGTACCGTACAAACCACAAAAAAAAAGTAGGCGGTGTGTCTGTCTGCCAACATCTGAAACCACAAGTGAAGATGCGCAGGGGGCTGGACCCGCACCCGTGGTTGGCTGAGCTGGTTCTTGGGGGGCTGACCTCCTTCTGCTGGGGTGGGGACCATCCTCTAGCCCTTCCCAATGCCCCCCCCCCCCCTCTTTACAAAAACACACACAACACCTTCCACTATGTGTTATATCTTTAAATTATTTCCTCGTATAAAAAATGTTTTAAAGTTTAAAAATATGTAAAGATGATCCTATAAAGGGTCGGTTACCAAAAACTTATCTGGTGATGGTTTACCGGGTCATTTACCTTACAAATGAGTATGGTAATGATCGAGAATCTTACTTGGTAAGAACGATGGCAAGGACCGAAAGTCTTATCATTGTCGTCGTTCTTACCCGGTAAGTAAGGGTGATGGATTTTACCCGGTTATTGCTTAGTGAATAAATCGTTGCAAATGATGTTGGTTTGATGGAGTAGAATCTTACCCGGTAAGGTAAGTGAGAGTGTTGACTTTTACAGATAAATATTTAGGTAAATGACCCCGAAATGTTTCAAATTTTTTGAACAAAAAAATACATAAACTTACATAAACTTACATAAACCGAACAAAATGGTCATTTTGACCCTAAAATTACTTGTAACTTACTATTGATGGGAAGAGCGACTTTAAAGTAGGGAAATGTTTAGAAACCTCCGTAGACTTTCATATTTTGAGCAATTAAGTAGTAGACTTTCTTTTAAACAGATAAATATTTGTACTTGCTGAAATTTCAGACCACCTATGCGTTGGTGAAAAACCCTTGGATCGGATCAGAGTAAACAACAATATCGAATAAGCTCGCGTCTTGACTTGAATCGGACAAAATGGTTCTTTCGACCCTAAGCGACTTTTTTTACTAATCTATTGATAAATCGAGAGAGGAAATATATATTTCTTTTGTTTCGTAAGTGTAACGGGAAATGGACTAAAATAGCAATTTCTCCATCCCCATTCACTTTTTAGCCATGTTTTCAAGCTAAGGGGCTGTTTACCCGACGTTTACTCGGGTAAGCGAACACCAAGTCACATTACCTTACCGGATAAATATGGTAAGGACCAATAATCTTACCTGGTAAGAGCGAGAGAAGGACCAAGAGTCTTACCCGGTAAGTGAGGGGGACAACTCTTACCATGGTAAAAGTTTACCGGGTAAATTGTTGCATACGATACCGTTTTTGTGGACAAAAATCTTACCCGATAAATAAATGATAATGTTAAATTTTATCAATAAACATTTACGGGATAAGTATTTGATAAACGACCCTTAATTCTCAAACTAACCATTCTTTTACGAAATTTTCCAAAAGTTCTGGCAGGGAGTAAAATAGTCAATCTCTCCATTAACCTTTTTTTTTTCCCCAAAAGCTACGTTCATGGACAGCATCAAAATGGTCATTATTCACATGGATTTCAATCAAAGCACCATAAATAAGACATATTTTGTTGTAAAAATATAAAAATTGTATGAAAAAGTAATGTACTTTAACTTAATTTCTATTTTTGGTAACATACTTTCAAAACTTTCATTTTAGTATTTTAAGATGTAATGTTTTAAACATTTAAATATCCGGGTAACTTGTTAAAGCATTAATGGTTATCATAATGACGCAGGGACGGACCCATAATTTTTTTCAAATGATGGCACCATTTGACTATAAGAAAAAAAAAATATAGGGAAAAATTTTCAAACAGTGATGTCATTTGACTATAAGACACAAATATACAGAATTTTTTTTCCAAATGGTGATACCATTTAAGAAATGACACTAACATGATTCGAACTTGAGTCGGGGGTGGAATAAAAGCCTTGCAAACCAACTCTATCAAATAAAACTTGTTCGCATTGTAATTTCAAAATACATACGGTGGCATACAACAAATTAAATACGGTTGTACATTTTACGAACCTAAATTTTTTTACCCTTCGACGAAGGAATAATGTGGCACGTGCCACAGTATGCCCTATAATACGTCCGTCCATGTGCCGATGTGACGAGTGATTTGGTATGCAACTCAGTATTATTTGCTGACGTGATTAGTGACATGAATTTTTTTAATCTAAAATTAGTCTTCAACCAGTTACCCGGGTACTTAAATATTTAAAACTTTACATCTTGAGCACCAAAATGAAAGTTTTAAAAATACGTTAACCAAAATAAGAATGAAGTTAAAGTAGATTACTTTTTCATGTAATGTAATTTATTTTAATAATGAAGGTAAATAAATCTTATTGTAATTTTGGTTGAGGAAGGCATGGAAAGCATTTAAAACGTTGATGAATCAGATTTGTCATAGAGAATAAATTAGAGTGTGATTTTGATTTGATAGAAAATAGTTAAAAGAGTACTACTTATGACCTATCTTGACTGGATGGGAAATAACAAAGTCTATTATTTGTAACAAGTTTCATCCGTTTATTGTTTTGCACATTTTCAATGTCATTTCTATTTTACTTTTTTATAATAGTAAATATATATATATATATATATATATATATATGGTAT